GACAAGCTTCTCTGGGGCCCGCTGCTTGACCCAAGGTAGTGAGGCAGCTGGTCATGGGGGGAGCTCGGGCAGAGCAAGACCTGCTCACCTCAGAATAGGGTGAGAAAGAGAGGTAGGGACCTTGGTACYCCTTGAGGAGACTCATGACTACAGGAGAAAGGACCTGGGTCCCCCTCAGGGACACCCTCATGAACCAGGACCTCCCTGGGCCAACCTCCCAAGAGTCCCTCCACCTCCCACCACTCTGGGGACATCTTAGGTCCAGCTGCAGCCTTGGCCTCGTCTTATGCTGCTGGTGTCCTATGGTGGACGATGAGCAGTTTACCAGGTCCTGACTGTGGGCCCAGCTCTSTTCTTAGCATCTGCACACTAACTCCACTTCCAGCTCATCTCTTGGACGAGGACTTGGGCACAAGGGGCCTATGAAGGCGGAGCCAGTGAGCAGTAGCGCCCACTCAAGCCAGAGACTCCCTTCTCCCGCAGGCCACGAACCACCTGCTTAAAAAAGCACCTCTCCCACCTGGATTATTTCCAGGTTGGTCTTGAGAGAGCAGCTCAGGGGGTCCAACTGCCCATCTGCCACGCAGCTGAGGAATAGCTGAGCAGCAGGGACACCTACCCAGTCTTCTTCCTCTTAGCGATTTCCTCAGCCAGCCGGCAGCTTTGCAGGAATACTTGATCCTCTTTGTGGGAGAGTCAGTCCAACTGTGGGTGCTGAGAGTGAGGCTAGCATGGGGCAGGACATGGGTGGACCAGGGAGATAGGGAGGGGGACACAAAGTAGTATTCCAAGCTAGAGATGCCTCCACCTCCTGCAGAACATGGGCTCCTGCCAGGACCACCCCACTTGCTGGCCAGGTGGGCGGTGGCCATTGAATGAACTCGGTGCCTCACTCATGCTAGGCAAGCACACCACCTCTGAGCTACATGCCCAGCAAACTTCTGAGCCTGCCATCTTCCACTAACTATAGCTGTCCTCTGCAGTCTCTGAGGACAAACTGGTGGCTGTGCTCTTSATGGTCATCACCCTTAAGCTGAATCCCATCATCTGCACATGGAGAAACGGGAGGGTGAAAACTGCCACAAGGAGCTCCAGGGGCTAGAGGTGAACTCAAGGATGGAATGAAAATGAAAACATGAGCCAGGAACACGAGGAGCAGGAGACTCAAAGTGCAATCTGAGTTCAGTCAACTGTGAAGGACCAGAGCTCACCTGCCTCTGTTTTCCTGCAGGTTAAATGGGCCACTTTAACCTCATGCTGGGACTTCAAGCCCTGTCCTAGTGGTCAGTGGTTTCCAGTGTGGTCACATTGGGACACCTTCTCCCTCTTCTGCAGTAATCAGCACTGCACAGTGTTTAKAATGGAGGATGGATCCCAAGAAATGCAATTCCACCCAGTCACCTCTCAGCAGTGTGACCTTGGCTGTACTCACTGCACCTCTGGGGGTAGCATGTAGTGATAGATAGAAGAATCGTGGCACTTGGAGTCAAAGGTCCATGCTGTGGCCAGTTCTCCTTACCAGAATGATCTTGGGAGACGACAGAACAGATTCTCTCCTTCCTTGGGTGCCTTCCTCCCATTAGCCTGGTTCTGTTGTCTGAAATTCAATAGTAGAAGTCTTATTTAATGACCAAGATGGGAGTTTATTAGAAGGCACATGTCTCAAAGCAGGGGTGACAAAATACAAGATGGCCATTATTAAACATTATCATCTACATCTGAACAATTTCCAAAGACTCTTCTCTTTCTATACAGTGGTTATCTGKGGTCTCAGGGAAAGAAGTAATGTAGCTAGGACTGTGTTTGCTTCAATCTAGTGAAGAGTGGCTTCAGTCAAACCAATCTCACTGCTTGTTCCTGTGTGCACTATGACCTAAGAAAGGCTCTTAAATTTTTT